ATTTACAAAAGGGCCTGAGTACCTTCATTCAACTCCTTGCTTGGAACTCAAACATTTTTTTCACCAGAGAAGGTAAAATGGTCCAGGAGTAAGAGAAAAAAGTCCCTGGACCCAGTACATACAAATGGAAGGGTTGAAAGGATTATGAAATTCGAGATATTTAAACAGGCTTTATGTAACATATCTGTGATTTTCTTACTTAGATGTCTTATGCAATGGATACTGTATTTGACTAGGGGATGTTTCCCCTACCTAGTACTATAAAACTGAAGGCATGTAAATCTGCCTATTAAGAAATGTTTTCTAGACACACTAATAGGAACTACGAAGATTGCCTGAGGCCACAGAATATAGGATAGAAACCGGAGTATTGGTCAGGAGAAATACTTCACTTGATAATCCTTTGTGAAGCATTTATTGGGGCTTATGGCAAAAGCCTGTGAACACTTCCCAAGGACAACTACTAAGATTTTGGACCACAGAATTTCTGCTTGATGCGTATGTACTGCCTTGCTATGAAATGTTAACTGAAGCTACCCCTATGCTAATAAAAATGGCGGTGCTCAAAAGAGTTCCATGATAAAACAAATGGTTCATATAGGATCTTGCTACCCGAGGAATGCAAGGAGAAGATAGGAGTAGGGAGCTTCTTTTTCCCCTAGGACTGATTCTAACTATGTAAGGAGCTGCTAGATTTTACAGTGTCTAATAAAGAGCTGTCATCTGACAAGAGCTGCTTGGCTTATGGATGGCAGTTCTAAGGTGAAAAGGGGACATCCTGTTTAGAAGATGCTGCTTTGGTTAAAAAAGAATCAAGTAAATCTTTTTCTTTTGAGTTACTTATAGCCTAGAGCAATTGGGTAAAGTATTTCTTGAGAAAAATTTATGATTCTAAGTTGTCCAAAATTTAGAGACTATTCGTGAGTATTCTGATTTTATAGCAATATAGTTATTTGCAACAGTTTAGTAAAACCCTTTCTTTTGAAATGGGACACAACTCGAGATACTGGTTATATTACTAAGGCTTTGACTAGAATAACATATTTTAGGTGAAGTTCCAGCAAAGCCAACTTGAAAAGAGCCTATATGGCCAGTCTGTCACTGTTGCTGCACTTTTACAAATAATCAGGCTAGGTTATAATAAGCCTAAAACTTATTTTCCACACAAACTGGTGTTGCTACCATTTCTCTTTAGTAGAAGAGGAGGGCTAGAGAAAAAACATGTTTCAAAGAAAAACCATAACACCTGTTACTAGATTCCAGTCTTGACTTTGCTTTTTTTTTTTCACTTTTTTCTTCATTTATTTAATTCCATTGGTTTTGAGTACATATTGAATCATAAATTATTTCTTAATTACAATAATTATCTTGTATTATTCTGTTCTCGCAGCTATAAAGAACTGCATGAGACTCGGTAATTTATAAAGAAAAGAAATTTAATTGACTCACAATTAAATTGTGGGGGGTGGGGAGGGGAAAGGGGAAACCTCAGTAACATTATGATCATGGTGGAAGGAGAAGCAAACACAACCTACTTCACATGGCGGCAGGAAGGAGAAGTGCCAAGCAAAAAGGGGAAATGCCCCAAATAATAATAATAATAATAATAAACAGGTATCATGGTAAGTCACTATCATGAGAATAGTAAGGGGAAAACTGCCCCCATGATTCAATTATCTCCCACTGCATTCCTCCAATGACACATGGGAACTATGGGAACTACAATTCAAGATGAGATTTTGGTGGGGACACAGTCAAACCATATCACCTCTAAAGATGAACCAGATTATAATTTTCTTCATTATGTTTTTAGTTGGCATCCTAATAAGGTCATTTTTCTCTTCTGATGCACATATTCTTTTGTCAAATTATTATTTATTGCTTATTGTTTTACTTCTTCTGAGAAAACCAGAATCATGATATTCTGAAGACTAGAGATGATTTGCCAGAGCCTGAAAATCTCCCTCACTTGGAATCCCACTGGGTCCCATCTGTTTTTCACTGCCAATTCCCTGTTGCTAAAACTATACAAGCAACCTCCCTCTAGGCCAAGGGACTGTGGCAGAAGAGGTGGGCATGTGACATTGTAAGAACCAATTTTGAGGGACAGAATTAGTTCAGATGCTTCAAATAAGATTGGCACACAGATGCCTAAACAGCTGGTAAAATACAAACTTCTAGATTATTATGTGACACCTTTCCATCCATTCAGACCATAAAGAATTTCCTGCTTCCCACAGAATTAAAATTACAGAGAGGATATCCAGATACCTAGTGATGAAGGTTCCTGGGTATAGTGCTCCTAGTTATGAGACTTATGCAGATAGACATATACAAATTTTTATTAGGCATTTAGAACAAAGTGTTTAAAAGTCTGCAAGAAGCATTGGGGCACAGCAAAAGTCTCTAAATTCCTTAGCCTAAAAAGGTTTAACCATGCTTATGTTTTGTATAGCTAATTGCTACAAGTCGGTAATTAAAATCACGATTGCAGAAGCTCAACACATAGAAATTAGTCAGTTTTGTAACCTCATCTCTAGTTTTTTGTTTCTCAGCTTTTACACTGCTTAAAAATTTTTAATTGTTGATAAATGCCTGCCTACCTCCATTCCCATATGTCCTAAAGCATTTTAATTGGCCATAAAAGTCTTTTGGCTTTAAGTCCATTGGTCATTGGTGATCTCACTGGGGAGCAGAATTGATGCAGGGTAGACAGTAATGCCACCCCAACAATGCTATGGGACAAAATAACATTTTGGTGGTCACTAATGTTGCCTTTGGCAAATCTGGACCAGAAGAGGGAGAATGTAACCCAAAAGTAAAATTCAGACCTCTAAACCATCTGAAAGGATCCCTTCTCTCAGCCAAAGGCATTCCAAAGTTAACCCAAAGAACTAGTTTTGGCCATGATGGGAAGTAGAGGTTGGACATTCCTCACTATACTCTCCCCTCTGTGGAATTCAGGCACAACTGATCAGCATTAACATTAAAACAGAGATCTTAGACTGACAAAAGAGACTTTGGAGTAAGACCAAATTTCAGCATGACTCTATTAGAGCATCACATGACAGATAGCAGGTGTAAGCAAAAAAAAAATTTTAAAGCCCTCCTCAATCATCAGAATGGACTTCCTTCTAGACCAGGACACTCTGGAGTTTAGAGTGTAAACCTGAAAGATAGGTTCAGGCCATGAAGGGAAGTGGGGGTCAGACATGCCTCACTATACCCTCCAGCATTAACATCAACACAGACCGTAAGCCTGATAAGAAACATTTGCAATCTATTATCTGTGAAGCCTGCTACCTGGAAGCTTCATCTGCATGATAAAACATTGGTTTCCACAATGCTTTTTTTTTTTTTTTTTTTGAGACAGAGTCTTGCTCTGTTGCCCAGTCTGGAGTGAAGTGACATGATTTTGGCTCACTGCAACCTCTACCTTCCAGGTTCAACTGATTGTCATGCCTCAGCCTCCCAAGGAGCTGGGATTAAGGCATGTGCCACCACATCCAGCTAATTTTTGTATTTTTAGTAGAGATGAAGTTTTGCCATGTTGTCTAGGATGGTGTCAAACTCCTAGCCTCAAGTGATCCGCCTGCCTCAGCCTCCCAATGTGCTGGAATTAGACATGAGCCATGGCACCTGGCCTAACAACCCCTTAACTTACTCAGACATTCCTTTCTTTTAATTCTAAATAGACAGTAACAAATCATTCAACCAATTACCAATCAGAAAATCTTTGGATCTACCTATGAGCCGGAAACTCCTGCTTGCAGTCATCCCACCTTTCTAGACCAAACCAAAGTACATCTTACATTGGATGTCTTACACCTTTCTCAAGTGCGTAAAACCATGTTGTGGGCTGACCACCTTCGGTACATATTCTCGGGATCTCCTGAGGGCTGTGGCGTAGGTAATTGGTTACTCATATTTGGCTCAGAACAAATCTCTTCATGTATTTTACAGACTTTGATTCTTTGTCAACAATAACTTGGCATCCAAATATGTGGGGCCTCAGAAGACTCAGAATGCTAAGAGTTACCTGAACTTGGAGCTAAGGTACCAGCAGGGTCCTGTTGAAAGCCTCCATGACTTTGAGCTTCTCCTCTGGTGGAACCTGTAGGCCCTCCTGAGCCCTAGATATTCATTTTATTTATGGTCCCTGGTTTATTCTGAGCTAGATTTTTTTCTCCTAGGATGTTGTTTAGGATCCTAATTCTTCTAGTTCAGAGGTGCATTCTAAAGGGTCCTCTCCACTGTCTTTTTCTAAATATAAGGAAAAACACCCCCTTTCAAGCACCTCATTTCGTTTCCAGTTTGGAAGTGCATTCTAAAGCATCTTCTCCATTGTTTCCCCCCACCAAAATAAAGCTCAATTCGTTTGTCTGCACAGTTGAATGAAGAACTGAATTGTCCTTTTCATAAATAGATGAGAAACTGAGCTCCTTAGCTCCAAAGAGAAAAGGCATTTTGTTCCTCCCAGTTGAAAGGTGCTCCTGGGTGAATGGGAGCCAAGTAAGAGTGTCTGGGGCATTGACCTCCTGTGATATGCAGTGGCCCTACAGATAACCTCCAACAAAACTATTCTTTTTAGGATCATGTCCATGACTTTTTTTTTTTTTGAGACTGAGTTTCGCTCTTGTTACCCAGGCTGGAGTGCAATGGCGCGATCTCGGCTCACCGCAACCTCTGCCTCCTGGGTTCAAGCAATTCTCCTGCCTCAGCCTCCTGAGTAGCTGGGATTACAGGCACGCGCCACCATGCCCAGCTAATTTTTTGTAGAGATGGGGTTTCACCATGTTGACCAGGATGGTCTCCATCTGTTGACCTCGTGATCCACCTGCCTCGGCCTCCCAAAGTGCTGGGATTACAGGCTTGAGCCACCGCGCCCGGCCCGACTTTTTTATAATTTGACATATAAACATCTTTTATGATATACATATATATACACTATAAAGAGATTTACTAAGAGGCAGAAAGGAAGAAAAATTACAGAACACCAATTTGTAGGGAACAAATTTATTTTCATTTTTCTGAAAATATCAGGAACCTATGAAAAACAAGCTCGATTTGGCCATACCAAAAGCAAAATACAAGTAAAAAGTAACATTGGAAAACCATGTTTAACCTTAGATAAACATGTTTTAAAATACAAAGTTTAACACTCTTCCCTCTATGGAGCTAAACAAGTTTTATAAACCACAGACTGTAGATTTTTGTTTTTAACTGACATAATTTTTTAAAAGAAAAAAACTAAAGGGGAATAAAAAGCACTTACTTCCTACCCTGGAACCTCATCATTTATAAATAACATGTTCAAATGTCAGTGAAAATAAACAGTTGATAAACGTGAAAACAAATCTTTTAATGAGTTCAGGTTACAACCGAGCACAGGATTTTGTAGCCGGGAAAAACAGCCTGTATAACTACTGAGCCTTATCAAATACAAATAAATATAAAAGGCAATTAAAAACAAACTACAAAATTGAAATCTTTCCATAGAGTAGCAGCTTTCACAAAGTAAAAACAACGTAGTTCCAGAGTTGTATGTAGGCATATGGCCAATTTTTTCCCAAGTCCTTTTGTCTTGACTATCAAAATAAAAGAATCTTTGTCTTGGAGCAACTTTGCTGAAGAAGGCACCAAAATCCTATCCTCCCTATTATCCTAAATTAAGAATCCTCTTATTGGAGGTGGGGAACGGGCATTTAAAAAAAAAAAAAAAAAAAGAATCCTCTTATCAATCCTTTCAAGATAATTTCAACATCATTAACATTCTAAATATGTAAAGCTATAGAAGGAAAGTCCTGCCTTATCTTTGCCCCTCTCAAATCATTCTAGTCTGGTTTACCAAACAGAACCACTAGTTAGAAGGATAAAAATATATTCCCATGTTCACTAGCCATTAAGTAAACATAGCCACTTGTGCAGGAAGCCTAACGTTTTTACTTCTTCCTAACTTTTTAAAACTTAAGGATAAGCCTATTTCCGCAAGCTAACTTTACAGCTCCTTAATATTCTTAATCTGGACAGCTTGTTTTGCACACTTTGTTGGCGTCTGCCTTTTTCAATTGCTTTACCCAAAAACAAGCCTTGAAAACACTTTCAAATTCAGGAAACCCCTGCAGGGAACCCTCATTGTATGTGAGTGTGAGCACTAAGTTGAAGAATTCTCTTATTTCACAGAAACCTAGGACTGTCCAACTAGGGCTGTGTTCATTCTCTTCCATCAGAGACAAAATTTCAAGCTGAGCAGATTTAGAGAAAAGGTTCTTCATATGCAGTTACATACGAGTGCTGGGAAAAGGAGAGAAAATGCTATTTAACTGGGTTTTGTGGTTCCTCCAAGTGGGTTAGAGCAAGATTTGAGAGCTGTACTCTTCATTTTCAAGTCCAAGTGACTACAGAAACAGTTCAAGAATTCCTCTGGCAAGGTGGCAAGTCAGTTTCCTTTTGGATCTAAGACTCTTGTCACTTTAAGAAAGAATTTTTCCCCAGAACCTTTCAGACTTGTTCATTTGTTCATGTGATGAAAAATGTCTACTAAATAGGCTACTTCCTATTTTTCATTTCCAAAGTCATTTTTCATTTCCAAAGCTCAGCAGAAGCTGTTTCCTTGTAAGTATTCCGGCATTCACCTTTCAATTCAAATATCCTGTAGAGAACTCCTCCTCTGATACACCACTGGATGTCTGTACGGTGCAGTAAGTTTATGCTGCTTGTTTGCCCAGGTTTTTGTTTTGGGTGTTTTTTTAACATTTCTGCATAAACGGGTCTTTGATACAGGTAACCAGTTTTGCAGCATTATTCAGAACATCACTGTATCTTCAAGTTTTTGGTATCAGCATCTCTGGGAAGAAAGCACTATGCTAAAATGTCAACATTAGGATTTTTTTTTTTAAATAACGCAAAATAACATGGAAACAACCACTGATGGGGCACCAGGAGTGTAGATAACAGACCTCTGGTTATCAGATACGATGTAGCAACATTATATAATGGCCTTTGTTTTGGCAGCCTCCTAGCAAGAGAAGTTTTATTTGAATTTCATCATTTACACATCTTATAAATGCTACAGCATGACAAATATTAGTGAAACCTGTTGACTCATCATCCTGGATAGAGAAGCTGCTCCTTTTCAGGATTTTGCTGACACAAAATCTTTTTAGTATCATATGAGATATCATCAGTAAATCAACTTACTGAGAATAAAGTCTTTTCAATTTTGTACTGCATCTTGCCCCAGCATTTTAATGTTATTAGATTTTTCACCAACTGTGCATTATTTTCCTTTCCTGCTACTAAATAATTTGCTTCCTAAACCTTTTGACTAAATGTGGTTTCTGAACAAAAGCCTTACTGTTTTGATAATCAAAAGCCATTTGAAAATAATAAATATCCTTTCTTCTCAAGTGGCTGTGATTTACAGTGAGAACTGCTAGTTTTCTAAGTTGTATGCCACAGACAATGCACAACGGGACAGGACAGCTTGGACTGAGTCCATATAAAACCGTTGAGAAGTAGCTTTCATTATAAAGACAGAATTTCTTTGTGTCCCTTGTTGCACTAGTATACTGAAGTATACTCAGAAGACTGAAATTCATCAACAACTTTTTCAGAAGTGTCTGTAGCTCTATGCCTAAAAAGGTTCTCTTCTTTCTCACATCTTGCCTTCCAGAATTGCAGCACTGGACTGTCAGCTTTGTTACACACCAATGTTAATAAAATATAAAAACACATATAATCAAACAAGAAAATCACCAAAGTCCAAAAACTTCACTAACCATTCACTTCTAACCTATATGATCCACATTTTTGCAGTGGTTCCAATAAAGTGGCAGGGGACAGCTGAGTTGTGGCATGCAAAAACTCCTTCCTTAGAATGAAAACTTCCTTCTGATTTTCTACTTCACAGTCAGTTCACTCCCGTAAGTCAGCTGCATAAGAGGAAACTGGGAGAGGCCAACATCCCCCTTCTCCCATCCTCCCCTCTTTGCAATAGTAGCACATTAGTCTGCCCATACATAATACCAGAAGGGCTGAAAGATCCCTAACAAAACTGTGAACAGGGCTGCGCAATCATTGTTCACTACTGTGAGAACAGCATAATGCAGCACGCAAATAAAAAACTGTTTTTAGTCACAATTTCAGGTGGAACCCCAGCAAAATCTCACAGAACCCCAGTTGGAAAACCCACCTCCACACCAAATGACCTCCTATGAGAGGTCATTTTCATTTGACTTGGATCCTTCTGTGGCTTGACTTGCAAGTTCAGGTTTGCCTCCTCCCTCATTCACCACCTGGGGATTAGACGTTGGTTTTGTCTGCCCCAGCTCATCAGTATTCTGTGGTACCTGCTGGTTATTTTTTCCTTCTGCTATGTTGTTTTGATCTGATTTGTCAGCAGATTCCAATTTAGTTTCTGTACCATTTCCCTGCTTTGAGATAAGCTGTGACGGATCCTTAGGGCTCTTCACCACCTCCTGGAGATTGTATTTTCTAAACAACATGTAATCTTTCACAACACTCAGGCAACAGACAGCTTTGATGATTTCTACTACCACCGTGTACTGTGGATTGGTCAGATTCACTTTATTTTCTGAATTGAGGGTGCCCACTATTCCTGTAAAAACAGGAAAACACATAGCTGAGGAGGATACCATTAAGTTTGATAGAAAAAATCTTCTGTCTCTGTTTCTTATTAAAACAAGACATACACGGCCGGGCGTGGTGGCTCACGCCTGTAATCTAAGCACTTTGGAGGCCAAGGCAGGGGGATCACTTGAGGTCAGGAGTTCAAGACCAGCCTGACCAACATGATGAAACCCCGTCTTTACAAAAAAAAAAAAAAAAAAAGACATATACTAATCCACTTCTCTATGTGGACTTCAAATACTCTGAACGCTTACGATAAATAAATACAAATGAAACTCTAAGATATTTAATAAGAATACTTTTTTTACAAAAAAAATTTCAAGTTAAAAGACTTTACCAGAAATCTCATATCCAACATATTGAAATCAGTTGATTTAATATTATTTTTAAAACATTTAAATATATTTGTTCTACATTCAAAAATGCAAGCCTTAAATCTTCAAAAAGAAAAATTCTTTAAAAACCCAAGAACAAGTATTTACCGTTGAATACCTATGGAAAATCACGAAGAGAAACATACCTGCCAATTCTCTGATAACTTCTTCTCGATTCATGTGACTGTTATTTCGAGATTTGTACACAATCTGAAATGTCCCTTTGTTTGGAGCTTTAAACCAGGGTTCCAAAAATGTTTCTGCATATTTTTTCATATCTTCTAAAAAAGCCTTGCATGTGCCTGAGATGGGTAACATTCGTAGAATAACTCGAGTCTTCTTCTTCTTGGTTTTGTACATATCCTGGAGAATATGATGCACCAATTTCTCAGGTTCTGAAGGAAAAAGAAGAAAGTTAACACAACAAACAAGATGATTTCTCAGACATCTTAAACACTAAACTCTAAAATGAATTTTCATTGGCAATGAGATAAGCTGACAGAAAAATTCTTGTAATGAATCTTAAATGAATCTACCTAGTCATTTTTTTCAACTAATGTTTCTTCAGTGCCTAATATGTACTATAATGTATCTAATATTTTAAGTTTTCATTATTACTGCTTTCACTAGAAATGACTTTTTAGGTAGACACTGTTAACATTTTTGTGATGTCCTGACTTATCCAACCATAACACCATGCTGCTATTTTCCTGTAACAACTATCAAGAGTACATTAAACAGTACATACTTTTTTACAAAAAAAAAAAAAAAAAAAAATCTGCAAGACACTTAAAGAGATGTAATCAATCTATTAGCTAAGTTAGCACAGAAGTCTAAACCTCAGACCCAGGAGAAATCCCAGAAACACGTTGGGCACAAGATCATGAAGAGGCAGTACTCAGGCTGCAACCTGCCTACATACAAGTCTATTTGGGGCTGCTAAAAAAATTTTTAAATTAGTTGACCACTTTCAAAAAACTCCAGACTTCCAACTTCTTTTGAGAAACTGGAACACCTGGTCCTGCGTTCCCAAGAGCAACAATTAGCTGGAGCTGAGAAGCAGCTGCCCCCATTAGACAGAACAAGCACTCTAGTTCTACCTTAAGTTAGATACAAAGGAAGGAGCAAAGCCAGGTTTCCACTCCTAAGCCAATGCAATGTCCATCACCCCATTCTACCTCTCCACAGGCCTACTGTTAATACCGTGTACAGAAGCTGCCATCAAATGATTGAGCCATGCCCAAGGAGCCATTTTGTAAGCAGTACTCATTCTCTGAGACAGGAAGATACCCAAATGTTATGAAATCAATAATCTTGACAAGTATTCATCACACCTATTCCAAGTGTCCTGATGAAGACGACGTTATTTGCTCCACTTTCCACTGACTGGAATCTTCTTAGTCTCATCTCTGTAGATGCCTTAATATCACCAACTTCTTTCTTCAAGGCAGCCTCCACATCATCATCTTCTCCCTCACTTCCAGAAGGCTGCTGATCCTTGTCTGTAAGCTGTTCGAATAAAACTAATGAGCAGAAATGACAAAACAGCTCACATTTAAACACTATCAGTAACTACTCGTGTGAAATCCCTGGTGGCAGGTGGCTCAGTATTTATTTATTTATAAGATGGGAGTCTCGCTTTGTCACGCAGGCTGGAGTGCAATGGTGCAATCTCGGCTCGCTGCAACCTCCATCTCCTGGGTTCAAGCAATTCTCCTGCCTCAGCTTCCAGAGTAGCTATGATTACAGGCGTATGCCACCATGCCCAGCTAATTTTTGTATTTTTAGTAGAGACGGCGTTTCTCTAAGTTGGTCAGGCTGGTCTTGAACTCCTTAGGTGAGCCACCATGCCCAGCTTACTCAGTATTGATAATAAAGCTTTTTATTATGAGACTCAGACACCACTCCCTTCAAAATGTGGAGCAAGGCCAGAATCAGTGGCTCACGCCTGTAATCCCAGCACTTTGGGAGGCCGAGGCAGGTGTATCACCTGAGGTCAAGAGTTCGAGAGCAGCCTTGCCAACATGGTGAAACCCCACCTGTACTAAAAGTACAGAAATTAGCTGGGTATGGTGGTGCATGCCTGTAATGCCAGCTACTCAGGAGGCTGAGGCAGGATAATTGCTTGAACCCAGAAGGCAGATGTTGCAGTGAGCTGAGATTTGCACCACTGCAGTCCAGCCTGGGTGACAGAGCAAGATTCTGTCTCAAAACAAACAAAAAGAAAATGTGGAGGAAGAGGGAGTTCCCTTAGACTATGGTATGTCACATTTGAAAATGTTTTCAAAAGCATCTTGTCAGTTTGAGACAGAAATGTGGCCAGATAAATCATTTCAGGGTGTACCTAGACACCTTCACCAGATACCTGTGTGCCTGATATGATACTGTCCATTTGGTACGATTAGACCAAATACTTGTGGAATTAAAAATCCTTACTCTTGTTCTATTAAGGAACAAGGCACAGAAATACACTGTTCAGTAATTTTGACCAAGCATGGTGGCTCACACCTATAAATCCCAGTACTCTGGGAGGCAGAAGTGGGCAGATTCCTTGAGTCTAGGAATTTGAGACCAGCCTGGACAACATGGCCTGAGAAACTGTCTCTACAAAAAAATACAAAAAATTAAGCGTGGTGGCACATGCCCATATTCCCTGCTACTCGGGGGCTGAGGCAGGAAGATCGCTTGAGCCTGGGAGGTGGAGGTTGCAGTGAGAAAGATCATGTCACTGTACTCTAGCCTCCAGCTTGGGTGACAGCAAGACTGCTTCCAAGGAAAGAAAAAAAAAAAAAAAAAAGAATTTGCTTAAAGTACCAGCATAAACAGGACATATATTTGTTGCCCAGTTCCCTGCCCCCCCGTGCCCAATGAAATTGCCAGTCTAGCACAGTAATAATTGTATACATTTGCAAAAACTTTTATAATGTACCAGTTTGTACTTTATATACATAAGCAACTCACTAGCCAGTCTTACTCTTTTTTATCTAACTTACCAACATCAAATAGTGCGCCCATGTCCGAGTCCCCGAGCTAGTAAAGGATGAGCCGTCAATTCAAATTCCCTCTGTATTACCCTTCTTCATTTAATCCTTCACAGTGTGTATGTGTGTTTTGGTCCAGATTCTAAGCCAGTAATACCATTTCCAAACAGTGAGACTTTAGATAATATTGGTTAAAAAAAATTTGTACTTTCTAAAATGTAATTTAAGTGTAATAACACTAGTAATAAACCTATTATTTCAAAGATATTATTGCTTCAGACAAACACATTATTGCTGCCAACTTCACTAAGCTGTCATGAGAAGAATGTTTCTGAAAAAGCTTCAGCACACGCCTGGCCCTCGACGAGAACTCCATAAGTGGGAGCTAAGCCGGGTGCGGTGGCTCCTGCCTGTAATTCCAGCGCTTTGAGAGGCAGAGATGGGAAAATCGCTTGAGTGTAGGGTTTGGGACTATCTTGGGCAAAACAGTGAAACCCCCTTATCTATAAAAATTAGCCAAGAGTGGTGGTGCGCACCTGTAGTCCCAGCTATTCTGGAGGTTGAGGCAGGAGAATCGCTTGAGCCTCGGAAGTCGAAGCTGCCCTAAGCTGTGATCGCGCCAATGCACTCCAGCCTGGGCAACAAGGCGAGACTGTCTCACAAAAATAAAAGTAATGGAAGCTACCGTGGTTAATGACGGAAAGAAGAGGTGCAAGAACTTCGAACACAAAACTTATATGGCCAAAATCTGCGAGCCTCTCAGGGCTAGGGGCGGAAACGCAGGCTAGGCCACGCCCCTACAACCGTTACGCCGACTACCCAAGGCGGGCAGGCCTAAACCCGCAGCCAACCCTCCAGCCCTCCCTCCTCCTGCAAGGCCCGCCAGCCGGCCCACCAACCCCAGGACCGGTACCTTTTCTGGCCCATACATGTCGTCGCCATATTCGTTGAGTAGGCTGTAAGCCTCCTCCACGCACTTGCGCTCGTTCATGTTGCAGGTGATGAGGATGCCCTGCAGCCCGGGCTCTAGCTGATGGGGCCCGCCGGCGTCGCAGCGCCGAGCCCGCTTGGCCAACACATACTGAGCCTTGCCTTTGCGCTTCCCGCCGCCAGGCTGAGCAGGCTGCTGGGCAGGGGCCGCCATGGTGCGAGAAAGCTGAGAGGAAAGAGAAATGTTCGTCCGACGCTGTTGGTGTCCTCACTTCCGCCAGCGCGACCTGGTGACGTTAGATATCAGCGACGGCCTCCCCTAGCCCGCCTCCAAGCCACATTCCGTGCTACACCAGGTCCTAAAGCCCGTCTGTAACGCTCAGAGGGGTGGAGTGACATCTGCCGCAGCCCCGCCTCCTGCCCCGCCTCCCGACTGCATCCTGAATCCAGTAGAGGCAGTATAGCAGCCGTTCTTTTTTTTTTGAGACGGAGTTTTGCTCTTGTTACCCAGGCTGGAGTGCAATGGCACGATCTCGGCTCACCGCAACCTCCGCCTCCTGGGTTCAGGCAATTCTCCTGCCTCAGCCTCCCGAGTAGCTGGGACTACAGGCGCGCACCACCATGCACAGCTAACTTTTTGTATTTTTAGTAGAGATGGGGTTTCACCATGTTGACCAGGATGGTCTCGATCTCTTGACCTCGTGATCCACCCGCCTCGGCCTCCCAAAGTGCTGGGATTACAGGCTTGAGCCACCGCGCCTGGCCCAGCAGCCGTTCTAGAAGTGGTGTCATTGGCTCTCTGTCTCTCAAGACCCTTGAGGCTGGCTCCAGCTTCCTAGCTTCCTCCATCTATCCTTGGTTCCTGTTCCTCCAGCCTTCCCTATTATTCTGCTGGTTATTGTAGAGGAAAAGTTAAATATTAAATTTGAACTCAATTGAACGTGGACACAATGGACACCAAGTCCCAGAACAGGTTGCTTGAGCCCCGGCATCATTCAGCACTGTTTCGGTTAACTCTGTTCCTGTACGTTAGTTATTGAAAAACAGACAATCGGAAAAACAAGTTGACCTTCTGTGTTCCTTGAGCCCAGTCAGGAAGGGCCCTTGTGACTGGGCCTCATGCCAATCAACTCGTTACCAAAAAGCCAGGGTCGGCCGGACTCAGTGGCTCACACTTGTAATCCCAACACTTTGGGAGCCCGAGGTGGGCAGATCACGAGGCCAGGACATCTAGACCATCTTGACCAACATGGTGAAATCCTGTCTCTACTAAAACATAAAAAATTAGCTGGGCATGGTGGCATGCATAAAAAATTAGCTGGGTCCCAGCTACTCGGTAGGCTGAGGCAAGGGAATCACTTGAACCCGGGAGGCGGAGGTTGCAGTGAGCCGAGATCACGCCACTATACTCCAGGCTGCCAAGAGTGGGACTCTGTCTCAAAAGAAAAAAAAATGAGCCAGGGTCCCAGGCTGCACCAAAGCTTCATGAGACCTCTCCTCTGTACACAGACGCTTCATGAGACATCTCCTCTGCACACACGAGTGGCCGACTCTGGAGCCCAGGATGTTGCTTCCCCTTCTGCTGATGAATCCTCTTTAGTCTGCTGAGTGTAAATATATATATGTATCATTTCCCTTTTCCCCTTTCCATTGCAATTTGCTTATTATATCATTTACTTATTATATCTGCATTGCCATTTAAGTGGGATTGAAATATCCTCGCTTGAGCTTGGCTATAATGAATACATTTTAAATAATCCTGCTAACTCCATTTTGCCCACCGTGAGCTATAGGGCCCACCGTGAGTTATGTAGGGCATTCTGTTCCAAAAGCTTGTGCTCTGAGACACCTGGCATCTTTGTAACCAATTTTGTGAGAAACAGGGCCCATTGGCCCTGTACATTCTGTATCTGCAACTGTGTAACTGTTACCTCACAGTGCTACCCCACATCCTGAGTAAAAAACAATTTTAAGTAGAACGTTTTGTTAGCACCCCCCCCAACTTCTCCCCTAACCTGCTCCTTCTGCTTCTGTAATAATCTGTTTACCAATCCCTGACCCTAAACTGGTATAAAAATGTTGACCGCCCTTTGTTCTCAGCTGAGAGGTTTGAGCTCTAGTTGACTCTCCAATGCCAGACAAATGAAGGTGAACTCTCAACAAACTCAATGCGTGGCGCTCCTGTTTAGACTTGCTCATGTATAACAGGATAAAGGATGTTTACTCTTAGAGGTATTGTGTGTATTTCCCACACAAAACTGTTACCCAAAAGGCTTCCAATAAATTTCATTTCAGCCTCAATTTTCCAGGCTGTTTCTATTTGACTTATAATCAAGGATGTTGGCTGGTGTTAAGTGTTTCATGCTGCTTTCACTGCGGCTTTTTTATCCGCAATCTTGGCAACTATCATGTTAGTCTCTTTTTTAAAATCATTGAAAAGATGCCACTTTTGAAGAATGTTTAAAAAAACGAGTGCTTTTCATACTACTCTTCAGGTACAAACCTGTTAGCAGATTTGAGTTCCTACAAAGTCCTAAAAGATGTAATCTGATACTGTGAAAGGGACACTGAATTCACAGTCAATAACCTGAGATCTACCAGTATGTCCAAAAATTTTATCATTTTTTGCTTTTACCTGTGTATTCAAATCAGCATTTAATTTTCAGAATTTCATTGGTGGAGACTGCACAGCAGAGATTTCTGGAAGTCCTAGGTTGTTTGTGAAGAGCAGTGTCATGACACTGACATTGGCCTTCCCCCAAATCTCTTTGTGTTCTGCTGGCTGGATTTCAGTTGCCCATGTTCTGCCACCTGTCCTTAGGATATTAAATATTAGCATACAGATAAAAAGTGAAGATACATATTTCAAGTCCCAAGCATATTTGAGTACGACATGGAAGCAAACTTGAAAAACCAAAACTCAGTCTTGTTAAATTTAGCCTCAAGCTGCCTCCTCACACATTTTAAGTTTGGCCTAAATCAAGCCTCTCCAACCTGTGGCCCTCAGTCCACATGTGGCCCAGGACAGATTTGAAATTCAACCAGCCCAACACAAATCCATAAACTTTCTTAAAACATTATGAGATTTTTTTTGCAATTTTAAAAAATTCATCTGCTATTGTTAGCATTAGTGTATTTCATGGGTGGCCCAAGAGAATTCTTCTTCCAAGGGAGCCAAACGATTGGACACCCTGGCCTACAGGTTTCTCCAGACATAGTGAACCATAACCTAATTGGATGTGTAAACAGACTGTAACTGCTCTTGTAACAAGAAGCCAAATCTCAGCCAATCACAGAAGTCATACTCAACTACTCACAAGTGGCTGATTGTTCAAACCATGTTTTTTATTTTTATGTTTTTTTGAGATAGAGTCTCACTCTGTCACCCAGGCTGGAGTGCACTGGCACAATCTCGGCTCACTGCAACCTCCGCTTCCTGGGTTCAAGCAATTCTCCTGCCTCAGCCTCCCAAGTAGCTTGGATTACAGGCATATGCCACCCTGACCAAGTAATTTTTGTATTTTTAGTAGAGATGGGATTTCGCCACATTGGCCAGGCTGATTTCAAACTACAGGCCTCAATTGATCCACCCACTTTGGTCTTCCAAAGTGCTGGGATTACAGGCTTGAGCCACCGGACCTGGACAAACCATGTTTAAATAAGGCAATACTGAATTGCAACATATTGGGATGTTTCTGTGCCTTACTTCCAGCTCCTGCACCTCACCTTTCTTTTTATGTCCATAAATCATCTCTGGCCACGTGGCAGCACCGGGATATCTCTAAACCTATTCTGCTTGATGGGCCAGGGGCCTGCCTGATTTTAGAACCCTTTTTTGTGCAATTAAATTCTGTTAAATTTAATCTGTCTCAAGTTTTTATTTTAACAGTTTATTGTACTTCAGGATGGCTGACTGTGCTGGGTGTGGGAGATCAGCGTGGTGGGAAAAACCATAGGAAAAGGACGAAAACCTTCTGATAGGTCAGAAGTTTCTGCAGAGCCCTGGGGGAAAACAGCTGAAGGCAGCCGTTCTATAACCATGAGGCAGAGGGCAAGGAGTAGGTACTAGGGAGTGTGGGGGAATTTATCTTAAACAGGCTTGTTCACTTGTATTAACCAGGAACTGACCTTTGATCATCCTCATATGACATTCCCTGAAAGAGGAACGACAAATGTTAATTATCTACAGGTTGCGTTGGCTCCAGGTTTTCCACATTGTGCCTGCACTGAATAAAAGCAAGCGGCTCCAACTTCTGGGGGCTGCTCTCTGGCCACTAGAGCCATGCAGTCACCTAGTTGCTCTTACACTGCATACCTGTGTCTGACTACTCATTTCATCCGTTTGCCAGGGTCTGCGGGACAGAGAATATCCCAGTGAAGTGAGAAAAATATGCAACCCTATAGCTTTCAGTCTAGACGTTAGAATTATCTAAATCACACCCTTATCCTGTGGCAGCTGCCAGGGCTGCGTCCTCTTACTTCCTTCTCTATACCAGGCCCCTGTCCAGCTCTAAATAACTCAGCCTTCATTTATTTATTAATTTATTATTTTTCTTTGTTTTTTTTTGTTTGTTTGTTATTCTTTATGACTACATCTATTATTTCATGGCTGTGTGAACTTTCACCTCCTTAGGTTACCTCCCAGACATGGACATTGGCCCAGTGTCTATCCTTGCTTGGACACCAAGGACTCTGTCACTTGTAAACCTCTCTTAGAAAGGACCACTTGGGGCCAGGCATGGTGGCTCATGCTTGTCATCTCAGCACTTTGGGAGGTCAAGGAGGATAGATCACTTGAGGCCAGTTTGGACCAGCCTGGGCAACGTGGCGAAACTCCAACTCATCTAAAAATAAAAAAGTAGCTGGGCAAGGGTGGTGCATGCCTGTAATCCCAACTATTTGGGAGGCTGAGACATGAGCATTGCTTGAACCTGGGAGGCAGAGGTTGCAGTAAGCTGAAATCGTGCCATTGCACTCCAGCCTGGGAGAAAGAGCAAGAATCTGTCTCAAACAAACAAACAAACAAACAAATAAATAAATAAAATAAGTAGACCACTTGGCACCTTGTGGCACCATGTAGAGTAGATGAAGGTGGTCTGAGGAAGTTGCCTTTTGTTTTAATTAACAATTAAATTTTCTTTAATTAAAATTTGTTTTAATTAAAAATCTGTTTGCTTCAGATATGCAGAAGGCCCCACAACCGAGGGGAGAATGGTGTGTGACACATTCTAGATTCCATTTCCCTATTTCTTCCTAACCTTAAAAGTTACTGTCCCTGAAGTTCTACTTGCATGTTCAGTACAGAATCCAGGTAGGAGATGCTCTCAGACACTCCTCTTGTGACCTTGCTCCCCATCCAGACCTCCTGCCTTATTCTCTTGTTACCCAGCATCTTCAGGGAATGTCCTGGCACTGAATCCCAGTTTCCTTCTG